CCCTCAAGCTCATCTATATACCATTATAAAAAAAACCCCAAACAGGATTCTGCTACAGCTAGTTGAGCTAAATGGGTGGAAAATGGATGTGAAGTCAGGATTGCAGCCTATGTGCAGATCTTTAATTTTAAATGATTCTTGTAATTTCTTTGAAAAATCAATGTGACTAAAATGAGTTAAGCATGTGTGCAAGTGTTTTCAGGACAGAGTTCTAAATATAGAATGAGATAATGTAGTTAAGTAAAAACTAGCATTAAATAGATCAGGATCAGGTTGATGGTTCTTGACCCCCAAAAAACTCATAAGCCTTAAACTAAAGAGACAGCAAAGATGTGAGAGACGACAGAACATATAAGGAATGGACAGGAAATAAATGAGGCTTTAGGGAGACGACTGCTACTTGGGAGCGCAGAGGTGAGACATTACATGTGTTTGGTATCTCCTAAATATTTAGGTGATAATGTGTTGTGGAGGGGCTGGCTGGGGCATAAGGGTGCTTCAGTGCAGAGCTAGCCAGCAGGCAACCGCACAATGAAGTACCCTCATGCCCCAGCTAGCCCCATCAGTGTCTATACATGCATTGCTGTGGAGTAAAAAACTCCGCAGCAAGATAGTACTTGTAAATACAAAGTATTGTAAATATTATCCAATACAATACTATCTAAATAAACTAATTTAACTCTGTAGCAGGATAGTACTTGTAAATACAAGTAAATACAAGTACTATCCTGCTGCGGAGTTAAATTAGTTTATTCCTGCCTAATAGCACTGCATGTGTAGATGCAAGACATCTACTGCAGAGCTAATTAGTCAAAGCCTACTGCCTCTTCTCCAAATTTCTGGTTAAGTAGCAGAAAAAATGCACCAAACCAACAGGTTTTATAAATAACAGCATGTAAGTGAGTAATGTAGCTAGTATCCTATGTGGCTTTCTTTGACTTCCCAGCCTGAATGATTAGGTACCTATGTACAGCCCAGAGTAGAGGGGAAGCCTTTGGTACACGTTTCGAGCAGGACTCATATTCCCACCTCTGGAGAGGCAGCAAGATGCTGTAACCACTCTGCTACTAGCTACACTGCCTGCTATCTTGCACATGCCACTTCAAGTCCCCTGCACCCTCATGCAAGATGCAATTTAATATCCTGTAATTCCTGGCATATACTTTCTTCTGGTTGTCTTTTGGAGTGAAATATCTGGGTCCTGGAGCAGATTATAGACAAGACAGAGGGCATTAGAGGATGAAAGAGATGGAGAATATGTACAGCTGGATTTAGTAAAAATGTTTTTCTTATATTCTTTAGTGCTTACATTCCAGTCTGAGTCCAAGGCGCCAATACCTTTTGGATCCAGTGAAAGGTCCTAGGTGGAAAGAGCTTGGCCAGAGCACTGCTACACTCTGGACATTGCTGGCTGGCATAGTGACCTTTGACTTTCAGTGGAAATAAATTTGCCCCCATGTTTTAGGGGTGAAATGATACCATGGGCTGTGTCCAGATGAGTGTGGCCATGCAGTATGTGGTGCAGCAGACATGTCGGGGTGGGGGCAGGTTTGACCCCTAAATATCCAGGGGTCTGAAAAACCCATGCAAAAAAAAAAGTTGAGTGGCGCACACAGGGGCAGTGCATGCTGCTCAAAACTGGAACCTGGCCAGCCAGAGCCACAATCCAGTGGCCGGCCAGATTCTGAGTGGCAGGATCCCACCACTGCAGCCCCAGGAGGCCCCAAGGATAAGGTAGCTGGGGCCAGCACAGTGCTGGCCCCAGTCTCCCCTACCCCACCTGGGGTAACCTGCCACTCCCCAAAGGACATGTGGCACAGGCATTCCCCAGGGACAACTAGAAACAGCAGAAGGTGTCCCACTGCTAGTTGTCCCCGGGGTAACTAACACAGCCGTGGAGGTTATCTAGAGTAGCATTGTGCTCTAATCAGATACAGGGGGTGTGGATAGTTGACTGATTCCAACTGCTTGTGAAAGTAGATCAGATACAAAACTTGAAATTCTGGCCTCTTAGGACTTTTAAAGTTTGCTTGGTACATTTCACAATGTTTGGCCCAGAGCAGTGCTTTGATCAAGCAAAGGATCTAGCTCATGATAATTAGGCATATTTTATATAAAGGTGGAAATGGCTCAAAAACAAATGTTGACAATGTTTCTGGCAAAGTACCTGCGGGGCTTTAAATTCTGTTGTAAAGTACTAACAAAGTATATGTTTTAAAGTGGATGTATTATGAACATTTTGTAAAATATCAACAAAACATCGGGATACCCTTTATGCAAATACTGTATCTGGGAATGGGCCGACCTTTCCTTATAGAAAGCAAATCAAGGTGAAGGTAAAGGAGATACTGTTCCAAGTAAGCATCTTTTTGAATAAAAAATAATTGAAAAATCTTTAGATGTAGGACCAAAATGTCATGTCTGTTGTACCACTAGTTAAGCCCATTTTTCTCTCTTGGGTGCCAAAAGGACTTCTTATTGAATGCCTAGAAATCAATATGCCTCTGTTTATTGGTTTGTGTCTTCTTACAATCTGTTCTTCTTCTAATCCAAATCTGATAGGGCATTTTACCAGTAAAAATGAATGACTAAAAATCTTGCCTGTTTCCATGGAACTACTTAACTTAAGAATTAAGTATTTTAGCAATTGTTGAAAGAGATAATGTGGACTGTACACAGACTTTAATTTTCTCATAACTGTTTAAGTTTTTTTTCTTGAAGTTGAACCTTCCCATTCTTGTTCTTACCTCACAGGTGACTGTATCTGAGAACTAGAGGGAAAAGTTAACCAAAAAATGCTGTTCTTAAAAGAATAAAGCAAACATCTGCATTTTAACCTATTAGTAATCCAAAAAAAAAAGACTGATTAAGTGGGAAATCACCCTTAAATTGACATATAACAATTCCTTGATAAAATAGCTTCTCTTCTTAAGATTTTAGGAAAATACAGGGGTGTAGGCTGGTCTTTGGGTAACTTCAATATCTTTTATTAGACCAACTAAAATGGTTGGAAAAAATTCTTCTTTGCAAGCTTTCGGGTACAAACACCCTTCATCAGGCTGAGGAAGGGTTTCTTCAGCCTGACGAAGAGTGTTTGTACCCGAAAGCTTGCAAAGGATTGTTCCAGCTATTTTAGTTGGTCTAATAAAAGATATCAGATTTACCCAAAGAACCGTGTCTGCCTAGGAAAATACAGTGCACTTCGGGGGTGAGTGGGAACAGGAATCACTTCTGGCCATGCTCATTGAGCATCTGCTAAAATTGTAGCAGCCTCAAGAAGATCCACTGTCTACCATAACATAGAGTGAAGGAAAATTGACCATTAAACTGTGTTGAGTTCAGTCTGCTGCTAGTTCTATAAATAATGAAACACATACCAGTACCAGACACTTGTTGAAAGCTACCTCAACACCACCAACATGAGAAGAGTAACTTTAAGTAGGTAAAAGTTGAAGTTATTAGCAAACAGAAATAAAAAAACTGGATCATATAATTTCAGGGTTTTTCCTAACTCTTTAGAATTCTACCAATTCTAAGCTTTCACTGAAAGAATATAAGAATATTAAGTTTTTAAAAACCTTTTTCTGTTGCTAAAATACTACCATCAAAACATAAAACCTATGCTAGAAAATGAGATCTGACAAGTATTAAGTGCCAATACACTTTCTATCACTTCTAACATGACTAATCTCTGGTTCAGAGATGATCCTGCAGTTTCTGATAGGGAAAGCAAATATACTGTCTCCTTCATCTTCCTTAGAATTAAAGTGCTGAAATATTAATCAGTTACATAAGCACCATAGTGCATCCGTGTTCACTGATTCAACATAGGTCTGAAAGAAATTAGGAGATCTCTCCTTTTGCTTTTAAAGAAATTTTATGAATTTTACACAATATTTGGCTTGCAGATTATTACATAATGTGATAATACTATCAGATCTCAGAAACAAAGAAGGCCTGGTTATCCCCAAAAAAGCAGATGCTGCAAGAATGTATTCCTAGTGATTTAGTACATTGTAGCCTCCTTTCTGCGTTGTTGCTAAAATAATTCCCACTGTACTATGTTAAGGTACTATTGTTCTGCTTTAGATGATGTCATTTATAGAAGATATAAAACTGACATCCAGACAATTTATAATGTTTCTCAAAGACAGGGGAATCAATCAAATTTTGTAGCCAAATTCTAGGTCAGGACCCAGTCTCTCTTCTAGCATATTCCCCTTATAGTTTCACTGGAGACTGTTGTTTTGTTGTGCACTGTTAAACAGCCCCAATATTTCATTCTGAGATGCTATAGTGAGTGAACTCAATAGTATTTATAATCTGTACATTGACCTGTTAACTTTGTAAAACATTTGGGATTGAATATTACAATATTAAAATTGGTAACAGAGCACTTGTGTCTTTTTCAGTTCATTGGTATTATTATTAAAACAAACATCCAAAATATATATGATCATATTCACACAATGAATTTTTATACATCAGCAACATCTGAAAAGCTGCATCATGCAGGGGAGATGGAGGAACAGTTTTGGGGAATGAGTGTTGCTGCTTAGCTGTGCCTGGATTATTCCCTAGGATCAATTCAATTAATATACAATTATTGGTGTAAAAATATAAACATCTTCTTTCCTCATTCACATCTCATCCCATGTTACCTGCAGTGGTCATATCGGGAGGCAACATTCAACCATGTTGTCTATTGACACTGACAGAAACAAATTATTTTGTATATTTTGGGTCTAATATTAAATTAGGGGTATTTGCATGGGTGTAAAACTGGTGTAACTAACAGCACTACAAGGCTCATCATGATTTTAATCAGGTAAGCACACTCAGAAGTTGTGCAGTAGGAACTTATTCACCAACATAAAAATAAATTACTCTTTTGCAAATAATTTCTCATTCTTTCCTTGTGCTTCCCTATGTCAGCCTATATTCACTGGTTTTGCCTAGTTTTGTGAACGCTTTGAGGCCTGGAGTGTCATCTTTTTTTCTTCTTCTATAATTACACAGTGCCTGGCACAATAGGAACCTGGCTCCACAATGAATTCCTACAAGCTACTAGGATTATTATTATTATTTCTACAAAGATATTGGCATTTTCTATGAACTGCAGTAATTCTCCATTCATTTAAATTCAGGCTTTACTTGACACAAACAGGACCTGCAACACAAACTCCTTGAAGAAAGGAAGCAACTGTTTAGTCCTTAGAAATCAAAGGGATGATGTATTCAGCCTTTGTTGTTTTTTCCTCGAATATCCTAAAAGGTCTGTAATTTGCTTCTCTCTGTGAAGCTGTCACTTTCTGCTTCCTTTTCACAATGCCTTTATACAGTTTCCACTGCAGATCTTTCAGATTGAGGAATTTGATATGTTGTGTTTCTGAAAGCAGCAACAAGTTATTTATGATGTTAACATCATATGTAATGGCACTTTTTAGGAAAATGAACAAGAAACAGCTGTAACACTGCAGGGATGTCTGGATGTTCAGCAGTGCTGTAATTTAGTTTATTAATTGAGGTGCCTAAATATAAATTTAGGTACCTATCTTTGGTAAGCTAAAAGGGAAAATTTGGGTCATGTAGGCCTCATCCTTTTGTTGAAACCATTGTGGGGGGGATTCTCTTCAACAGCAACAAGAACAATCTTCAGAGTTCAAGAGTACATACACTTATTGCTAATATCAGCAACAGGCAAACCCTAGACATCAATATGCAATAACTGTGCTGTTTCACACCCTTCTAGGTGGCCCCTTTGTCCCATAGTTAAAGCATATTCATAGAGCAGCATGGAAAATTTGCATTGCCAATATCTGTTCTGTTCATTAAAGGTCAAATCCAAAGGCTGCCTTGTTCCACTACAACTTTAACAACAGCTTCATCAACCAGCTGGGATCTCCTGGGTGTAGACCCTGTGGAGGATTTGTTGGGTAGTGCAAAGCAGCAAGCATCTAGAACCAGGTTAACCAGACACCTAGAAAATCTCTTATGTAGAGAAATCCCCAGGGAGCATAAGACACTGGACGAGCCAGGAATCTTTAGCTGTTGAAACACCTCCTTTCTGGGGATAGCAGCTTGCACAACATCAGGCGTGCCTTTCCATTTTTTCTCTGAATTGCTCCATAGCACAGGGCAAACATCAGACTGCTTGAAGCTCAGGAAACCTTAAAGATGATTTAGATATGCACTTTGCAGCCTTTCACCTGTGCCAGGAGTCTGTCTGCTTGATGCCCAGACAAGCTCCAGCTGGGCCTGATAACCTGGATGGGATTGACTGCCTGCTGCCTGTGTGCCCTCAGCCGACTCCCATTAGAGCTCTGTGAGCTTGCATCAAGACAGAGCCTTCTCTGTCTAGCCTCAGTGCTCCTGATTTCTGGCTTGTTCCATGATCCTTGGCTCTCTCTCTGCCTTATTCCTGCCTGCATTCTCTGTCTTCTTCCTGCCTGCTCCCTCTGCCCTAACCCCTTGACTCTAGATTCCCAGTAGGTGACCATTGTGGGACTGTGCCCCAGCCTTCCACATCCGGGATGCACCCATGACCACTTGAAGTGTTTCTGAAGGCAAAGAGCCCAGTTTAGTATTGTCAGCCTAGCATGCTAGAAAAGTAGGATGCAAAAATTCTATGGAACTAGCATATGTGCCTAGCATATGTCATTATAAATGCAATTAGTTTCATGGAAAACAAAAGAGAGGCTAATTGCTGAGTTGGCATTGACTCTCCATTCTAGTATTCAAGTAGGAGAGGTGATATGATGCTATGATGGAGTCTGTCTCAGGAAGGTCACAGCATATGCAGGTCAGCTTCAATAGTCAGAAAAGATCTGTTATAGGTCAGTGGAGTGAGACAGAAAAAAACAAGATAGTTGATACCATTTCACTTCAAGGCCCATTGATTTCACAGTCTATGACCTTGTTTCAATGAGACTGAAGGGTAGATCCAACTCCCACTGGAATGAATGACAAGATTTCCACTGAGCTGACTGTGAGCAACATAGGGCTGGAAGAATTAATCATCCCAGTGCTGAATGACAGCCTAACTTAACTAGATGCTGAAGCCACAGATAGACGTTACACTTAAAATGTGATTAACCAGTTAATCATGTCTAAAATAGTTACCTGGCTGGCCACACATCCAGGCAACTAATGGCATACCAAAACAGGAAACCAGCCACAAAATTATTCCACAAAATATGTGTAATATTTTTGTGACTGGTTTCCATATTGCCTGGATGCCTGCTGCATGGTGGGGCTTGGTTGGCAGCTCCCCTGTGTTGGTAGGAGGACAGCCCTGCAGTGCAGCCTCGCATAGGGCTGTACCTTGTTGTTTTCAAGATGCCAAGTCAGAGGAGCTCATTAGCTGAACCAGGGGTGGTAAGTCACTGGGAGCCTCTGGGTTGTCCATGACTTGGTAGGTTGTCTGCCCTGCCCTGCAGCTCCCAAGGAGCTTCAGAGTAAGGCACTTGACACATCCCAGCCACTGGGAGCCTAGGATGGGGACAGATTCTCTGATCCTGGAGTCCCTGTGCACCAGAACCTTTAAAAATTGTGTGCACAACCCAGCTACACATGTGGTTTTCTGACATCCCCAGTGCATGTGGACTCTGGGATTGGCAAACCTCTCCTGGGTCTTGGGGCCCCATGCACTGGCACCTTGAAAAAACATATGTGCAGTAAGGCTGTGCGTGAGGTTTTTCTGACACCCCTGTGCTTGGGGCTCTAGGATCCAGTTGGAGCCTCCAGTGTGATCCCAGGGTTAGACTGACAATCAGCTGATTGTAAATTCCAGCCTTGGGACCACACGAGTCTCCAGCTGGCTCCGGTGTGGTCCCAGGGCTGCGCTTGACAATCATCCGGGGCTTGGTCCCAGCCCTGGAACTGCACCAATTCACCAGGCACCCAGCTCTCAACTTGCCGATGCAGGAGGGACAATTGTTGGGATCAGGGAACAGATCCCATTTCGCCATTAAATGGACATGTGCCAAGGGCCTGAGACCATGGAAAATACAGTCACTCCATGTGCCTGCCATGATTCTGTCTACTTTGAGATTACATGTTTTTATAGCAGAATAAATGATGGAGATAAACATAGTAGACTGGTGAGCACATCTGCCCACCAGTGCAGGTTTTTTCTTTATGGAATATTTAATAATGCCTTAGGTGGTCTGTTTTCCTATGTCTCAAGTCACAATGACTCCCATCATTTTAAAATGACTTCATAGGATAATGCTGGAGGTCCCACAGTCAGGAGTCACTGGATACTCAGCCTATGTTTTTCCTTTCTTAATTCCATGCTAGTGCTCTTAACTAATCTCCCTTGTACTATTTTATGCCATTCATAAATAAGCTTAAGTACAGATTGCTCACCTTCAGTTTTTTGCAACTCAGAAATGGGAGAAATTTTAGATAAAGGCTTGGGCTTTTCCTTTTTCCAGAGGCCCAATGTAAAGTACTGTATCCTGCATAATATTTCTCCTTTGGAACATTTGGATTTGATTGAAGAAGTTGACAAGGGAAGACAATTTCTGATTAAAAGCACGTAAGGAATCATATGCTCTGGCAACTGCCTGCTGTGTTTAGGTTTTCTGTGTCCTCTAGCAGTAGAATGCTTTGTCTTTGATTTAGACAGCCACTTTAAGCAGGCAGACAGAAATTTGTTTGCAGTTCTCACTGCTGTTGTGAGTGAATCAGCACCTTCCTTTGCTACATGTTCTTGTGACTCACTGCATAACTCATGAGGTAGCAAATGTTGTTTGTTTTTTGCTTCAGTCTCCCAGTTATTAGATTTTATGGCAAAACGCACTGTATGGAAGAGAGAGGCATGTGTTCCCTTCAAAAGCAACTGGTGTGTTGACTCTCCATTTTTAACATTTGCAAGACATGACAGCAATTCTGGTACCTACAAAAAATATAAAATACATTTCTAATTTTTAGTGGCCCAGACCTGAAAAAGAACTCTGACAATTACTTAAAAGGTTTTTTCTTTTACTATGGGTAAAACCTAGATGTCATGATTAGGAGTCCTATGGTGCATCAACAGATACATAGAACAAGAAGATAATCCCCATGTCAAAGATTTTACAGTATAAAAGTATGATGAGAAACAACAATTGCCAAGAGGTGAAGAAGGCAGCAGTGAAATTACCATATATATTATAATATGTGGTACTTACAGCCCATCCAGGATAATAGTGATATTGTCTTTAGGACACCTTTGTGGTATTATATAAAAATACAAACACTTTTTCTTGTTGCAGGAAGTTCCGAAGTTTAGATTTTCTAGAGGTTATAACAGATTACAGATCTCACTGCCTGCTAAATATAAAACTTCTGTAATTTTTCCCCTTGATGACCTAACTAAGAAATGGCTCAAAGTTGATTTTCAAATCTAACTAACCTGGAATTACAATGGCAGTAGTGTAACAATGACTGGATGAGTGGGGCATGAGCCCCAGGTACTGCCTAAGGAGGGGGTGCTGGAATGGAGCTGGTGGAGTGCCCTACCCCCCTGTCCTCCATGCCTCCTGCCTGCACTCTGCACCCTCCCTGCAGCAGGTCCAGCAGCAGCGGGAGTGCAAGAGGAGTGGTTGGAGGTTTCCCACTGTAGAGGTGGGGGGGTAGAACTGGCAGGTGACTGGGGATGCTGGAATGGAGCTGCCTCACCTTCCTATCTCTCATACCTCCTGCCTGCACTCTGCACCTTCCCTGCAGCAGCGGGAATGCAAGAGGTGGGGGTGGAACTGGGAAATGTCACTTCTTATTTTGTCACTGAAAATCAGCATTTTTTTTGTTCACTAGACACACGTGTTGCACCCTCCTCCCCTCTACACCTACAACACCAGCAAGCCTCAGGATGGTGCCTCTGCACCACGTGCTGCCACTGCCCAGGGCAGAGTACTAGCCAGTTATGCCTCTGGTATAAGACTAAGCACTTGTAGATGACTATTAGGGGTCCAGGCTGTTGTTAGGACACTCTCTTAAAAAGCCATTAAATGCTAAGAAGAACATGCTGCTTTCTCAGCATTACATATATACCATCACATACATTTTGTGTGCAGGCTCTGAATATTTTACAGTGCATGTCATTGTACACAGTACACAACTCAAGAGAAATGTTGAGAACCTTACATACCTTACATGAAAACCTTACATACGTACTTTTGGATTGGATTTGATTACAAAGCAGCATTAATGAGGCTGCATTTTTCTGAAAGCATTGCAGGTAGAATGATCCAGCTGGGAATGTGACTGGAAATAATGACTTCTTGGTTTGTGTGAATGACTTTTTGGTTCAGTACACTTTCTTTTGGCAAGCACTGTGAGAGAATGCTGCTTTCCACTCAGGTTTCATTAAGACTGATGGCCATTAAGAAGGAGAGGTTGTTCTGAGGCACAAAGAGAAGGTAGGCAGCCAAATATTTTTAGCTGTCACTGAAAGTCAAGTACCTCACTTTCCAAATGTGCTTTTGAAAAATTTCCCCTTTATTAATTAAATGTATTTGCAAGTTTCTTTTTTGCAGTGTATTGGGTGTATTAATGAATTGAAGTACAATAATGGTTAAAAGTACAATAATGGTTGAAAGTAACATTGTAATGTATATTATAATAGGCAAACAACATCTTATAAATAAGGCCAAATACACCACTACATTGATGGCTGTTCAAAAGTCAACATCTGCCAACTTACACTATACACTTGCCAGAATTGATTTCCTCAGTGTAAAGGGAAATAACTCAAATATCTTACATATGCCCCAAAATACTGAGCTTGAAATGGTGAATTCTGAGTTCTGATTCTAGATCTTTTCTACTACAGAACTTTTTTCAAGTTCAAATGTACTTTTGTGAATCAGAAGAAGAGTGTAAACATGGTACAGATCTTGAAGAACATGTTCTATAAAAGAGCAACATAGGTCGCTCTGTTTTGATAGCATTTTTGTAAATTACAGCTTTTCAACAGACAATAATTAGGTGCTATAGAAGCACTTAGCCAATTCTGGCAAAAAAGGTTAAGGATAAACAAAAGCAGACAATATAACAGATCACTTTTACGCTGCAAAAATACTCACTTTCCAATTGGGAAGGAATAACTGTTTCTTTTCCTCATGGCCACTATGTGGCTTATCATTTTCAGTTTGATTCATTTGATTCTGCTCTGGAAAACAAAGAAAATAACTTTAGTTTGAGTGTTAGCACTTAAGGGGCTAGAGAAAGAGATAGATGGGTGGGAGGAAATTAGACGAATGTGAAGAGGAATAATCAAATGCCAAAAATCAGATGCTGGATGACTCAACATTATTATGGACTGAACAGACTCATCAAAGTTAGAAATGGTCCATTTCTTTTTGCCAGTCAAAGCCAGTTTTCAATTGTAGATCTCTATGTTTTTGTCCAGCATAGTTTTAAACATTTTTAGAGATGGGATATCAACCCACTTTTTCTGGGAGGTTAGTCCAGAGTCAAGAAGTTTAAAATTCCAGATACTTCTTTCCCTAAACCAAACCCATTTTTCTAGCTATTCCTTTCCTATCCAGTTGTCTTTTCCTGCCTAGTGCAGGGGGACTAGACCTGATGATCTGCAAGGTCCCTTCCAGCCCCTAACAACCTATGAATCCTTAGCAATTTATTTCCCTTCTTACGGCTTGAGCCTGTCAGGTACTTGTAGAGAATCATTTTGCCAATGTTTACCAAGACTTTTAAGCCGCCTTGATATGTCATTTTCTGCTGGCCTTTCATTATTTTTGCTACTACTTCATACATTTATCCACATCTTTCTCATATTAAAGTGTGCAAAAATGAACAGAGTTTTCTAAAGGCACCACTTCCAGACATGTCTGTGAAATGATGCCTTGTCCACACACCCCTAGTTGAACAGCCTGAACATTTTTCACGACCTGTGTGGAATAAGTTTCTGTTCTCTACTCAGTTCCTAACCTACTGCTATTCACATTTCATAAAATCACCACAATTTTAGCAGGGAGCCCAACCTTAAGCAGGCAAGGAAAAATCAAATAATGTCCTTATTGTTGGAGGCGATGTTGCAGCTTTCTAGGCTAGCTTGGTTTTATGCTGTTTCTTTAATGGTGTTAAAAGACAGATGTTTTGGTCCAAAAGTGGTAGTGTTTGCCAGAATAAATGAAACACAGTCATTTTCACATGACAATAAGCTTGTTCATTCAGAGCCTTTTCAACAGCTCAAGTGCATCTGCAGAGTAACACACTTCCTTTATAGCTCCTTCAAATTGCTGGGAAAATAAGACAAATGTGTCCCTATTGCTGTAAGGAGCTCAGTGTTTTGGAAAGCACATCCAAACCTCTCCCTGTCCAGGCCAGTCACTGCATTTGTCCCTAACCAGCCGGGAGAGGCTAGATTTACTTCTGCAGGGTCTGCAAAGTCAGTAGGCAGCTCTGCAGAGTTTCCCAGCTACCACAACTGTATTACCCCCTTCTGGGTGCCTTGAGAAGTAAAAGCATCTGGAGGAATATCCTTCCCAACCCCAAGAACAACCTGCCTGCAGGGATCGCAGGGGGAAGCCCCTGGGAAAGTAACACGGATGCGATAGTTTTCCAAGAGCTTCTCTTGAAAGCAAGCTGCTGCGGTCGGGACAACTCCCGGGAGAAAGCAGAAGGCAGGTCCGTCCCCAGAGAGAGAAAGTAGCAGGCATCAAGCAAATCTGCCCATCCGAGGGCGAAGCAGGAGCAATCCCCCCCTCGCATTAGCCGAGCCGCTGGAAGCAGCCTGCGATGCCGGTGCCCTGCGGCGGCGGCCGCCGGGGCTCAGCGGCTCCTCTGACCGCAGGGGCCGTCACAGAGGGGCCGTGGGGAGGGGGGAGGCGCTGGGGATGCATCGGGGGTGGGTTGTTGCGGTCATTTGGAAACTCTAGGGCGCG